AATACTCTTAAGTATGAGATGATTTTGTGGTTACATTTATAGGAAGATCTTTTATGGTCTAGCAGTACATATCAGAGTATTTAGATAAGGTGATATGCTGGCTAAGATAGGGCCACGGGATGGCATTCCTGGGCTCCAGGCTCTTTTTCCTTCATGGGCCACTTCTACCACAGTAGGTTTTCTCAGGCCCTGAAAATATCGTCATTTCCTGGTGTAACAAAAAAGAAAACATTTTATCTAATCTGAAAGGTTCATTATTTCCACCTGATGATTTTAAAAGAACTTGGAGCATTTTCGTATGTGTGCCCAGAGTATGCCGGCCTTCATGGAGTATTCCCTGTGCTTCATGGGTGAGTCCATCCTAGTCTGGATTTGTTTCAAACTAATTCAGTAGTGGGGAGAGGGACAGAAGATGGGGCACTTCGGATACATGAAGTCTCTGAAGACGGGATGGCATGAGGTTGGCCATAATTAATAACTGCTGAAGCTGTCTGATGGTACAAAGGGGGCATCACAGCATCTTTCTATGTTTGTGTGTATTTGAGCATTTTCAAATTAATTAAGTAAAAAAGGTCAATTTTGAAAGAGTTATTTAGATGTTGTTTTGATTTTGTTATCATGGAGACAGTACAAAATAAACAAATAAATAAATAGGCTAGGTACTTGAAGTTGGTGCCCATGTAGAGCTTGCATAAATGAGAAATAAAGACATCAAAATGTATTGGGACAAAGGCTTAATTATTAAGTTGGGATTTAAAATCTAACCTGACAGATGGTTTTAAGAAATTCACTTTGTTTTTAACTGGGGAAAGAACAACACCCATGTGAACAGAACTGCTGCCTGGCAACGTGGCACTGCTGTATTTGGTGATAGTCATATGAGAATTTTACACTTGCCTTTATAGAAAAATAATCAATAAATCCAATAAAAGGCTGTACAGGAATCCATTCTGCCTCTCCAAAGAGCTGCGCTTTACAGTGAGCAGGTAATTGACAATGTGGGTTGGAGTGTGCTCCTCACAGGCAGCCTCAGGTACGCCCTGCTGACCTCTCCGTGCCTCCCTCATCCTTCCCCACATTAACTCCATAAACAGTCAGTGGTATGAACTCCAAGCTGTGCCCTGTGTTAGGTACTCCATATGCAATGTACAAAGTGGTTCCTATGTGGAGGAACAATATCAGCTGGGGAGACAGAGACATACACAGACATCTGCAAAAAGGCTGAGAAGAAATGGAGAGATAGCTTAGTGTATAAAGTGCTTGTCTTGCAAGCAGGAGGACCTGAGTCTGATCTCCAGAGTCCATGCTAACTACTACTACTGCTATTGCTGCTGCTGCTGCTAACAACAACAACAATAATAAGGTGTGGTGCATGACTGTATGTCTGCAATCCCATAGAGAGGTGGTGGAGACAGGCGGATTCCAGGACTCACTGAGCAACCAGCCCAGCCAACTTAGCACATTTGAAGTCAGTTAGATACTCGGTCTTAAAAAACATGGTGGACAAGTGACATGGTGGTGCACACCTTTTATCCCAGCACTCAGGAGGCAGAGGCAGGTGAATCTCTGAGTTTGAGGCCAACCTGGTCTACATTGTGCGTTCCAGGTCAGTCAGCACTGCATAGTGAGACCCTTCAGAAAAAAAAAGAAAAAAGAAAGAAAAAAGAAAAGAAGCAAAGACCCTCAAGGTGGACAGTACCTGAGGAACAAAACAGTGCTGTCCTCTGGCCTCCACATGCACACACACATGGTCGAACACACATGCACACACACATGTGTACCCCCCAATCCCCCAAAGGGTTAAGAAGCATTCCAGTGAGGTGAATGAGGCTAGGGAACATCCACAGATGTTGAAACCATCAGGAGGGTTTTCTGCAAGTGGGAGGGGACTGAAGAGTCTCAACCAAGCAGTGTGCTCCTGGAGCAGCAGCAGAAGAGGAAGCCATCCCAGACAGAGAGCTGACTGCAGGAGACCCCAGCATGTAAGGAGAGTACCACCTGGGCATTGAGTACTGGGCAGAGAGGGTGGGGAAGAGGTGGCAGGGGAGGGGAACATAGCATGGAAATGAGTGAAAGCAGCAGATATTTATTCCAGGTTTTTCAAAGTGTGGCCCCTGGAAAAGGAGCATCAGTACAATCTGGGAAATTGTTAAAAATGTAAACACGGGGGCTGGAGAGACGGCTCAGCTGTTAAGAGCACTGACTGCTCTTGCAGAGGACCCGGGTTCGATTCCCAGCACCCACATGGCGGCTACAAACTGTCCTTAACTCCAGTTCCAGGGGAATCTGAAGCCCTCTTCTGAACTCTGCAGCATTGCACGACGTGGGTGCATGCCCATACACGCAGGCAATACACTCATACACATAAAAAATAAAAATAAATAAATTTTTTAAAAAAAATGTAAGTCCAGCCTGAATCAGAAACTGGAGATGAGGCCAAGTCATCACTATTTTCACAAGCCCTCTAGGTAATACGGATACACGAGAAGCTTAAAACTATTGGTCTATACCAATAGTGATTCTTAATTAAAAGTGATTTTACCCTCCAGGGAACATTTTGCAATGTCCAAACACATTTTGAGCTATCAAACTGATGAGGAACACGAGAGAGAGAGAGAGAGAGAGAGAGAGAGAGAGAGAGGCAGAGAGACAGAGACAGACAGAGACAGAGACAGAGAAGACAGACAGAGACAGAGAGGAGAGACAGAGAGACTAAATATTATATAATGCACAGGACAGTCACCCTGAGCAAAATCAAAATGTCAGCAGCTTAGGAACTGTCCTCCCCTCCCTTCCACCTTTTCATCCTCGTTTCTTTTCTTCTTCCTCCTCTTTCTCATTCTTTATTCTGCCCTTCTCTGTCTCTTGGTTATCTAGCCATCTCTTTAATGATTACTTGCTTAGAAGTAATCCACTCCACAGAGTGAAACCACAGAATTCTCAAGAAACCACAAAATGTTCTTCTATATTTTTATTCATTCAACTACATTAAACTGTATTCTTTTATCTATTCAGTGATTTCCCCACGACAAAACTGGCCTGTGGTCAAAAGATGTATCTTATTCCTGGCCAAAGGACACATTTACCTTCCTGGGAATGAGACTGCTCTGCTCAAAGTAGAGGTGGTATTTGCCACCCCATACCTGAAACTCCAGCTCTTGGGTACCTTGAATATGTTTTTACCTGAAAGCCCAAACAGCCAGAAATTCAGATTTTCGTCATGAATGAGAATTTCTAATAGAGATTGTTTTGAAATGCTTCGACTCTTAGATAAATGTAGAGCTCTGACTTGTTCATCAATTACATGGAAGTCAGCTTGTCCACTGACAATTCAACTACAAGTCCACACAGAGTGAGTTTAAGCAAAGATATTCAGAGTAATGGACTAAGCAACCACATGGTATGGCAGCCTGGATAATCACGCTGACAAATCAAAAGAACTGTATCTGTCACGACAAGGTCTGTGCGGTGAAAAGAGTGGGAACAACACAGTTACAAAGGCAAAGTCATTGCCTATGAAGTTAGTTAGTGTTGTCAACCCGACAATATCTAGACTCTTCTGGGCCTCTGTGCATGCTTGTGGGTGATTAACTTTATTGCATTCACTGATGTGGGAAGACCCATCTTAATTGTGGGTAGGATGTAAGTTGCTTTTGTCAGAGTATTTTATCACAATAGGAAGGAAATTAAGACAGTGACCATCACACACTTTCAGGAAAATGGGTCCCCTGAAATGTCAACATGAATATGTAATCTGCATGGTGGGCAGACATTTCCTCACGTCCACATGTGGAGGTGGATATCCACGGCTTTCAGGGTCTGAAGCCATTCATTGACTGTCTCATTCTCAAGCATCTCTACCTCTTCTCTAGAAGAACCAAGATCACTGCTCTCCATTCACCTCTGACAGCTGTCTTCCTTAGGATTTGCTCTCAAAAATGCCCCAGGGAAGGAGACAGGCCCTGAGTCTGCCTGATATTCATCATTGGACTTTGAGTTATAGGCACTCAGATCCAGTGAGTTACTTAGTCATCATGAATCAATAGAGTCAAGTCTGTGGGTGATAGCAGTTGGGACATCTAAGCTTCTAAGTTCAAGGGAGGGCCAATCCATTGACTATAGAGAATGTCTATAGGAGTCATTTTCCAGTATCCAAACTGCTGTCTCTTTCTTGTTAATCCTGACCCTCCTAGTGAATTAATTTTTTCCCCAATTTCTACATCCCCATAGTGCTCAAAAGTATTTGTGATCCATGGGGAGGGAAAATGGCCACACTAGTTTGTAGCACCTCCCATCAAGAGGTGGAGTCTTGTCATGCTTGGATCTGGCATATGTGTGTTACTTTGGCTTTTAGGCTGCAGAGAAGGTGACTTTGTGTGAGTTCTGAGCTATGCACTCAAAGAGGCTTTGCAGCTTCTGTTTTGGCCTCCTGGAACCCAAGATCACTATATATAAAAGTCTAGGCTAGCTTGCATGATGATGATGAGATCTAAGACTCTACCACCCCAACAACTATGGATGGCAGCCAACCAACCCTTAGAACAAGTCACCCAGCTCATGGGCGACTGATCACAAATGCAGAGGGAGTCCAAGCAAGTCCAATGTATCAAACACATCAACTTGCTCAACCCATTTTGCCAGTGTGTCATGTTTGTTGTTTCAAACTACTATATTTGAGGGCAGTATGCTATAAAACAATAGATCCTTGATACAGAAATATTTCACTTTCAGTAACTTCCAATTATACTCTGAAGTTATTACCACAGATCTATTTCTGAGAAGCCCTAAGCTTTGTCTTCTGACATAACACATTAGGATTTATTTGGGCTAGCTGCAGTAGCTCTGGTAGAAGAAATAGCCTCTATTTTTTTCTATTAAGATGCTAAAAGAAAGGGCTGGATAAGTGGTACAGAAAATTTTGGGTTTGCCAATGTTTGTGCAAAAAGAAAAAGGAGGGTTAAATATTTTTCAAGTTCACATTTCTTGGATATGGATCTAACCTTCAGCCTGCGGTCTGGATCTCCACTGCATAAAGAATTTACCGATACTTTGAACGACTTCCAGGCTGGGCTTAAGTTATTCATCACAACCTGGGAAGAGAAAGAGAAGAGTGGTCACTGGAGGAGGATAGGCTTGACATTTTCTTACTTCAACATAAAACTTCTTGAGAAGCCATTGCAATGCTCATGAAAAGGACACTTGTCTGGAACAGGGGCTTAATGAAAATGTCGTAGTGACTCTTTCAAGAGTCCCCATTAATAAGTCATTATGGGCAGAACTCCTGGCCCAGTGGCCACTGACCTGGCTGTTGTTTTATGAATAATGACAGCGACATTGCCCAGCATGTGCATATAGACAATGACCTCTTCCATATCATGACCTGAGATTAAGGTAATGCTGCCTCTGGCCATTGACAAAGGATTCTGAGGCATATAGTCCTATGGCATGAATTCCCTTTCCTTGGGGTCACAGAGAAAGACTCAGCAAGGGTGGAGGATATGTCAGCACAATTCTACTGGTAAAGAATCCCCACCTTAGCTGAGCAGCTACTGGCAGTTAGTGGTTGCTGGAGTCGGGGAGCCTCCTTTTGTTTATTTTAGCAGTAAACTGCCACTGCTCCAGTAAATAACCTCACAACCACGCTCATGCAAGCAACGATAATTAAAGTCAGTGGGTCACAAAAAGACATGAAACTAAGTGAACTTGTTGAGAAGAAGAGGGGGTTCAGTGCGCATGAGAGAGGGCTAAGAGAGGGTCATGGGTGATAAAACTGGCCAAAATACATCACAGACACATTTGACATTGTTAAATAGTAGATTAAAAATGTAAGAAAAAAGTAGATTGTGTGATCTTTGGTAATCTATGACTTTGAATCATGTCAGGCTGTGAGTTTAGAAAATTTTCTAGAGGGAAAATACTTGCAATATTTTTACATAACTGACTACCATCTTGTCATGGTGGCTTCTGTTGTCAACTCAGGGAAACCTCAATTGGGAAATTTCCTCCATAGATTGACCTGTGGACATGTCTGAAGGGCGTTTTCTTGATCGTTCATTGACATGGGAAGGCCCAGCCCACTGTGGGTAGTGTCATTCCCGGGTAGGTGGTCCTGTGTTGTATAAGAAAATAGGCTGAGCACAGGCCAGGGAGCAACCGGTAAGCAGCATTCCTCCATGCTCTCTGCTTTGATTCCTGCCTCCAGGCTCCTGTCTTGCATTCCTGATCTAACTTTCCTCACTTATGGATTGTGATATGGGAATTGTAAGATGAAATAAACCCTTTTCTCTCTAAGTCATTTTCTGGTCATGCTGTTTATCATAGTCACAAAAAAAAAACAAAATAGAACACCTCTCAATTAGAATATCCTAGAAAAATGCGATAGAGCAACTTTTCAGATTACAAACTAAGTCTGTAACAGCAAAACCCATTTAAAATTAGCTTACTAACCAAAAAACTTGGCTAAATATTGCCCAAGAGTTTATGAGTCTTATCCTGCAATTACGACTATTTGAATAATTCATTTCAGTTCAGTGTATATAGCTGGTTCCTTTGTACCAAGCATGGTACTGTGTACTCTAGGGTAGTGGCCACCAACGCGTAGTTTCCCAGGCAAGCAGGTGCTATGCTACCTGTAGACTTCTTAAAAACACAAATTCTGGGTTCTGCCCAGTTCTGCTAACAGACCCTTTTGAGATGGTTCTCCAAGGCAATCTGAAGCACGAAGTCTAAGAACTATTGCTCCAGGAAAAAGCAAATAACATTAAATGGAATTCTGTCATATTAATCATTTTTTTCTATGAAGTTTTTAGGTAGAAGTCTTTGTGTTTTTTAAAATTAATTTCTCTTCATATACTATAATTATTTTATAATTGATTTCCCAAACTACTGGATTTCTTACTATAATTCTGAATTGTCGATTAGATCACAGATACATCATTAAATTTATTTTAATGAATTAAAATTCAGAAACAATGTTCCTTTGTGACTTTGTCTTATCTCCTGATACCCTGACAATGATCAAATTATATTGAGAAGGAGAATTAGATAATACAGTCTGTATTAATTTCAAGTTCTCATCTTTTATGAAAATATTAAGAAATGATATGCTTAACTAAAGCAGTTTGGGAAAACTCAACAGCAGATCAAAATTTCAACTAGAAATTTCTTCTGAAATTAAAAATCTGCATGCATGCATGAGTGTGTGTGTGTCTGTGTGTGTGTCTGTGTGTGTACAGGTTCCTCAAGCAAATGATATTGTCTGTTTATCTTATACCTACCAAGTAAGCAAGAGAGACCATCAATTCTGTGCTGCTTGATCTATTGGAAAGCTTTATAATCAACAATACTATGATATTCCAATAATTTGCCAGCACTGTGGTAGGGGGTTAAAGTTCCAGAGTTTCTTGGGAACAGAAGACTTTACCGGTATTGATAATGGGGAAAAATACTGTCAGGAGCCATGGGAAGGAGGATGTTAGGGGAGAAGAATCCAATTATGCTATGTATATCTCTTCTCCTTTGCCCATTTGCTGACTATAGCAAAAGCATAAATAAACATCACGACTGATTCTCTGACAAAGTTATTTACGTCTTCTAAAATTTATTTCATCACAGGACTCTTTATTAAGAAATAGCAATCAGTGTTGGTAATGGGGGGCACCCAGAGAAGCTGTACTTTTGACTCTTCAGTCTATTTCCCAAGGATTGGAGTCCAAACAGTCAAATTGTTCTTCAGTATGCAGTAGACGCACCATTCAGATGCAACTCTATTTGCTTATTTATGCTTTTACTAAGCACATATTAGGTGCCAGCGATGTGCCAGATAGGATCTACTACTGGCCCATCTAAGACTATTTGATTCTTGTCTACTGTGATGGTCAGTCTTGGTTGTGAACTTGACACACCTGGGAAGAGGCAGCTTTCCTTCATCAGACTGGCTTGTGGGCATGTCTGGGGTGGGGGTGTGTGGGGGTGCTGTCATGATTGATGTGGAGAGCCCAGCCCACTGCGGGTGGTACTATCTCTAGGTAGAAGGGCTGTATAAGAATGGTAGCAAGGGAGCAAGTCAGAGGGAGCCAGCCAGTAAGCAGCATTCCTCCACTGTCTCTGTTTGGGTTCCTGCCTTGAATTCCTGCCTTGGTTTCCCTTGTTGATGGTCTGTAACTTGTAAGCCACACACACCCTTTCCTCCACAAATTGCTTTTGGTCATGATGTTTATCACCACAACAGAAAGCAAACTAGGACAACTACCTTAGGAATGACAGGAAAAGTTCTCCAACAATCCCCGCTGTTTCAAGAAAATAGACTCGGCTTTGTAAAGTGGGAACATGGCTCCCCTCCCATCATCCCATGAAAACCATGGGTATTTCTTCTTTCTTCACTCTACCATGCTACACATACACAGGATCTCCACTGAGCTCCAAGCCATTTGGCATATTTTTTCTATTTCCTTCTTATAGAACCCCTCTTGCTCTGGCTTATGAGAATAATAAATAAGAGACTAGAGATTGGAGTTGGTTGTTGCATTGATTAATTTTCTCACTGCTGTGACAAAAGCAGCTAAGTAGGAAGGGTTTATTTTGGCATTATGGCAGGGAAGACAAGGTGGTGGGAGCTCGAGGTGGCTGGTCCCCCTGCATCTGAGGTCGGAAGGCAGAGAGAAACCAGTGTAGACACTCCACTGTTTTTCCCCTTTATTCATTCTGAGACTCCAGCCCATAGAATAGTGATGCCCACATCTAGGCTGGGTTTTCCTACCTTGGTTAAAACCATCTGGAACCCCACCCCCTATGCACCCAAAAGGTCGCCTCCTAGGTGATTCTAAACCAAGTTCAAAGTTAACCATCATAGGTGCTCACTGTATTATGCAAGAGAATGGTACTAGGGGTTTAGGGGAGGGAGGGATAAGGTTTATAGTTTAGTTTGAATCTAAAATATCTCCCCAAGGCTTATGTGTTTGAACACTTTGCTCCCAGTAGATAGCATTGTATTGGGAGCTTGTAGAAACTTCAGGAAATAGGGTATGGGCCTGGAGGGCCATGCCCTGGCTCTGTTTCTGGTCCTATCTCTACTTCCTGATCCTCTAAAATTTAGCAAGCCCAATTATAAGCTTCTGTACAATGGGCAGCTACTGAGCCACTTGGAGAAAGCCAGAGTAAGAAGGAATGTAGCTTGACCGGGTGGTTGTTGTAGTTATATGACAAGTCCAGTGTACAGACTTTCCTTGGGGAAGCAGATTGCTTTGCAAAATCATGGTGAAGCTGAGTCAAACAACCTTACTGTACATCTCGGTTTCTTCAACTGTAAAGTGGGGGTAATAGTCTTCCTGCCATGGAATTGTAAAAAGTAAAATAATACATGTGAATAATTCAAGACGATGTTTCATTCTTGGTTGTTCTCATGAAATGTTAGCTAGTGTCATAGTTATTATTTTTTGCATTTTGTGTGTGTATGTGTGTGCGTGTGTGCACATGAGGTCACACGCATACTGCAGCACAGGGACATTTGGTCAAAGGTCAGCTTTGCAGGAGTTGATTTTCTCCTTTCATCATGTGGGTTTCAAAGACTGAACTCAGGTTATCAGGCTTGGCAGCAAGTGCCTCTACCAGCTGAACCTTCTTGCTGGCCCTAGTATTACGATTTATGGTTCAAATAAATTACTGGCTGACTATGTCAAAAGTCAACATGGGAAGCTGGATAGAAATAAGAGGTGGGAATCTTCTCTTTCAACATATAAAGTGAGGATATAAACCCAGGCCCAAATGCAAAGAATCATCTTGAGAACAGAGGTGGCTTCTGGTTTCTGCCTATCTATAGACATTAAGAATTACAGGCTGTTCTTCACAACAGCTCAGTTGGTAACCGTAGGAGACCACACACAGAAGACTTCTCACCTCAGTCCGGTGCACAAGTTGCTGAGTTGCATCATCATTCATGCGAAAAATTTCGAGGAATGGGTCAGATTTACTGAAGAAATCCTAAAAGGAATAAACGACATTAAGTTTTTTTTTCCTCCTGCATTTGATCTAGTCCTGAGCAGCCAGAAGGTTTAATTAGCAGAATCCATCCTCTGACTTTATATTGTCCATGTGTTAATGGAGGACAAGCTTGGCAGCTTTTCCTGAAGGTCAGCCTCAACTCCGCTCTGCTCCCTGCCCTGAGCAGTGTACACCACCCTTCCTGACAGTGCTCTTCACCCCGTTGACCCACCCTTGCCCAAAATAAGCTGCATCTGAACTCCAAGTCCTTTGTAAAGTATGTACTTGCTTGGTTGAAATCCAAAAGACTGTTCACTGGTCAATTCAAATGTCAATTCTTTGAGAAGTGATGTATCTGTTGTCTCCAATATTCTAATCACAGTATTGCAGAGCCTGATGGCTGCAATGTCTGGATCACTGATGGGTCTGTCTCTTATCTGTTTCTTGGTTCTGCTTCTTGGTGAGCTTGTTAATTTTGATTAAATAAACACCATGTAAGGAAGATTATAAAGGTTTTAGGCGTCTTAATCAACTATCAAGTGGTTAGAATGGAATCAGGCACTTGAATCCAATCAGGATTAAGCTATTCAGAGGATGGTTTTCTTCAGAAGTCTTAACAAGACTGTGTCTATTTTGGATTCCTTTCCTCTTTGGGTGTTGTCCTTGGAGGACTAGATCTGAAAGCCAGAGTGTTTATGAAGTGGGTCCTTCCCACTTGAGAGGCCTCAGGGTTCTCCACGCCTCTGTTAAGCTCTAATCCCCCCTGGGCTTTAAGTTTGTGTTCAGTTTCTCTGCTGTTATTTGTTAATTAGTGATTGCTTTGGGCAGAAGCCCCTTGGGTTGTTGAACTTCTTCCCTGCTCTGAGTAGCCTTGCTGTCAGAGGCCCTGGACTATATCTTTCCAATCTTAGAAGTCTCAAAACTTCTGCTGTTTCTCAGTTTGTCCCCCGGCCCCGCCCCCTGGCAGGCTTTGCAACCTCTTTATCTACGCAGCTTAAGGAATCAGCATAGAGTGGAAAACCCGCAGAGTATCTGAGTTGTCTCCCGGCTTTCTCCTCTGCCACCTTTATTTGGTCCCTCCCATCTTGACTGCCTGAGGACTCTCGGACAGATGTCCCTTTTTATCTTTTCTAGTGCTTATAGGTGTTTTCAGAGGGAGGAAGGTAAAACAAACAGGCATTCCATCACTGGAATGAGAACCTATCTATATCACCGAGCATTCTTTACTCAGTAGTTGACAAACTCTCAGAAAGGATAAACTGTGCCTTATTTTCTTTTCCACTTTACTATTTTCTCAGCGTGTTAGTGTGTAGATTTGAGTAGTACTTGGTGCTTAGTTAACGAATGTACGTGTGAACAAATATATAAATGAATGAGAGACACAAACAAATGCTTGGTGTAGAATAGGCGATTACATATCCACAGCTTTGTATATCATGTTCTTATGAGGTGGGGAGCCCCCATCTAAACCAACAAAATAGAATTAAGTCTATATTTGCTGCAACAGTCATTCTTTTTTTTTTTTTTTTTTTTTTTTGAGACAGGGCTCCCTGTAGCCCCAGCCAGCCTGGAACTCACTATGTAGACCAGGCTACGCTTGAACTCACAGAGATCTGCCTGCGTTTGCCTCCCAAGCACTGGGATTAAAGGCGTGTGCCACCACACCCAGCAACAGTCATCTTTTGTCCCCCAAAGTTTACAAGCTGGAGTCTAACATTGTGTCCCTTCGTGTATCATTTGACCTCTACTTGTAAAATTTCCTGCACTATCAACATCTTTACCAGCATCCTCATCTCGAGCTCAGCAAAAATATTTTCAGGTTGGTCACAAAGCTTTCCTGCTAGTGTTGCGATACAAGGGATGTTAGTGTCTAGCTTCACTCTCCAAGTACCATCAAGATTATAAGATAAACATAAACCTCAATATGCTTCATGCCTAGGGATGAACATGTTTGTACAACAAACACGCATGCATGTAACAAGGACTCCAGAGAAGAAGTGGCTGAAAAATGGCTATGGGGAGGCTATATTTCCAGAGAATGGAGAGTGTAAAAGAACAAACATGGAGAAGACCCGTTGAGGAGCTTAATATGACTGTGTGTATGTGTGTGTGCGGGGGGGTGATGGGGAAAGCACTGGCAAATTTGGCCCCATGGTGAGAAGGGTACTTAATGCTCATTAGGTCTTTGTGCTTCCTGGAGAGGAAACAGAGCCATCGGGGGATTTTTAAATAGGAAAATAATATATTTGATTCTGTCATAAAGACTATCAGCCTGGAAACTTTGTACAAGAACTCAGAGAGAGAAGAGATGGGCAGTGGGGGGTGACTACATTCTCCTTTCCTCACTACATCATCCAGAAGCAAATACCATGTTGCCCAACACTTCCACTCAGTTGGAAGGGATTACTATAGTCTTCGTCTTGCCAAGAACTCAGGGTCTGCTTTCCTCATAAGCCTGCTCCATAAACCTGGCCTCACCCTCACTATGGCCCATTCTTCTTCCAGACACACTTCAAGCTGATTCTCCATGCAACTGTCAAGGCAATTGTGTCTCAGACCTATTTCTTTTTTCATATTCATCTAAAAATATTATAGCCTCCCTTCCCTAATGAATATGGGCCATATCGGCCCATTCCTGTTGCCCCTGGCTTCCTCTCTAGGAGCTCCCCACTCTGCCTCTGTAAATAGATCCTCAGGGAAAGTTTATGAATTATACTTAAAAATTGCTGACCACAGTGGAAGAACTTTGTTGGTTCTTTCCCTTTTTCCTCTTTATTGAAAATTTGAAACTTCTGTCACTAGCAATTTTACTTAAAAATAGAAAATATAGAACAATAGAAAGAAGACAAAAATAGTGAGAAGAAAAAAAACAACCCACAATCCACATCTGTAATTCAATGCCTAGGATCTGAAGTTTGTGTTGTTCACTTCTCTACTAAAAACCTGGGAGAGAGAAATGGTTGGCAGGCCCCAAGAATCGTACAACTCTTCATCTCTTTCGAGAAGCTTCTTCATGCAGTGGACGGCAGGTAACAGAGAAACTTAACAACTGGTCAAAATATAGAGAATAGGTAACTGTGGAATGCCCAGCCATAAATGGGACATTTATACCATATCCACTCCCCCAGGCTCAGGGACTATTGTGGAAGAGGGGTGGAAAGATTTTAAGAGCCAAAGGTTAGGGACCAGAGCCAAAGAGTGTCCTGGTCATGACAGGACTGCTGCACTCACTGATGAGCTCACAGCAGCTATGGCTGCCTGCACAAGGCCTGCACCAGATCAAGCCACTCAGCAGTCCAGCATGGAGGAGGGAGGGACTCATGAGCCCCCACTCCTATCTGAAGAACTAATGACAGTTGATGCATTCTGAGAGTCAGTTTTCTTTAAGGGTGTGGTCCCAGGTAGGTGCACCATGGTTTAGTGGACGGCCTCAAAACCTTGAGTATACATATGGGCAGCACAAATTGGACTCAATGGGTTATTTTTTTAAGAGGACAGGAAGTTTGGAGGGGGGTGGAAGGTGAACCCGGGAAGAGTTGGGGGGGTGGAGGTGAATATGATCAAATACATTGTATACATGTATGAAATTATCAAAGAATTAAGAAAAATATTACACTTTTAAAAAAGAAATCAGTGGGATGCAACAGATTTATTCAAGGAGAATTTCACATCTTTATCAGTGGACTAGGGAATGCAAAAGGCTTTTATGAGACACAGAGATATTACACTGAGACAATAGGTGGGAAACCCCTGGGCTGGGATGGAATCTTTTTCTCCAGAGTAGCATCTCCCCTTGTCCTAACTGAAAGTCTTTTAGACCTTCATCTCTTGGGGCAGTGTCTGCATTTTCTCTTTAGAAAAATGCATTCTTTTTTAGCAAGTCAACCGATATGAATGGAGGAGTGGTGGGGTACTGGGGAGGAGGAAGCTGAAGAGGGGGCCCTGTGAAGGGATGGGTCTTCAAAAGCTCAGGGAGAGGATTGGAAGAAGAGGCAAAAACTGAAGTCCCTAGTTCATTTCCTGCATCCAGTTTAAGGTTGTGGCTCTGGATATTTTCCGTACTTTCACATTCACAAGACCAATATGGTTTGAATCCCACCAAATATCAACAGTATTTTGGTAAATCTTTTTGCTAGACTCTAGACATAATTTTCCCTTCTTTCTTCCTTTTAAAAGTGTACATGTAGCCACACTTTATGCACAGTTTAGTATGCTGCTCCTTCGCCTGGCCCTTTGCTAAAGTGTTCTTTCTATTGTTCACATTCTTCTAAACACCCTTCAGGGTGTAAATGAGAATTCCTAGAGAGAAGCTGTGACTATAAGGCTGACTGATTCAGTGATGTAGAGAGGTTGCAATGTCGTAAGTCCCGCGCCTTTAGCCCATCCACAGCCACTTGTTGCCCACCTCTGTACCTAGCCAAACATCTTTTGTGACTATTAGGCAAAACTTTGGAATGTGTGAATGGACCCCTAGTTTCCATCAACAAGGGACTAAGAATGCTGTCAGACAGCACCTAAGGCCATAGGGAGTCTCTCCTACTTCGCTGTAATTGGCCTACACAATGCACCCACCAATATTTGAAAAGTGTGCTATTTTATGACTTTGTTCTGTTATTATAAATGTTCATGAACTTGATACCTCATTGGAACACAGAATTTGGGGAAACCTAAAACTGTATACCTAGGTCATAGTCACTCAAATTTGGCTCCAGAATAAACTCTTTTATTCCTGGTATGAGCTGTTTCTTTCATTGACAAGGGTTAATACAGAGATGTTGTGAGGACTGAATAGCATAAGCCCAGAAGAAGAGGGCCTGACGTTTGGCTTCATGTAACTGAAAATCCAACATGCAGCATGTAGCTTTAAATTACTCTCAAATCTTGACTCTACCACATCTACTCTGAATGGTCCTGGGTGGAGAGTCAATATTTCTTAGCCTCAGTTTCCCATCTGTAAGTGAGAAGAATTATTGCTCTTCCTCCACAGCAGTGTGGGAGAA